GAGAGATTACGTTTCCGACTGTCACCGCGTGCTGACGTATATCGAGAACGCGAGCGAATTAATAATCCTGTACAGTTTCGAGGACCTTGTTACATTAGAAAATATACTCTGAGTTTTGCATAAATAATTCTCTCATTATTTCCATTCCTCGCATCATATCGATTTGCTATCTCACCGTGGCAATCAAAGTTCAATAAATAATTAGGCGAAAAACTAAATGCCAAAGTTTCATCTAGATGATCATCTAGATAATTTTATTTAGATAACAGCAAATACACTGATTGCTGAAGAAAATTTTACAGAAGAGTTCTTGTGCCTTAAAGTTAAACGTAATAGAAATGAGAGAATACATATATGGTAATAATATATAGTTTATTTTCACATATAAAAAATTATTTTTACATAAAAAATTACCATAAATTTTAGATTGTCAACCCGAAATTTAATTATCATGTCTAAATTTTACCTGATAACTAATATTTTTTAGCTATAGTTAAACGGACAGCTAAAATTTTGTAGCTAAAATTCGGACAATATAATTAAATTTAGCTATAGTAGTTAATTTTTTTTCTCGTGCATAATTTTGAAACGTAAATTCTTCAAGAGTACAACAGTATAAAAATAATAGAAAAAAGTAATATATAAATATAAATTTAATTTAAAGAGAAAAATAATAAGAATATCGATAGTGCATTATAATGAAAATTTAAAGATCTGAAGTATTAATTTGTCAACTATTTTGCACATTAAAAAATTCTGATATACATATAGGAAATATTTTTAATTTAACTCTAAGATTTAGAATACACTAACATTATATCGAGAACTATGTCTATTGAAGAAAAGGCAGAGAAAATAACAAATGTTTCACATTAGATATTAGTTTAGAAATCATTCAATTTAAGTACAAACTTTTGTGTAAACAAATCGCTATGCTAATAGAAAGAGTGCATCGATCTCCTAAGATTTGGTCACGCAAAGTGCGTGAGTCTTTAACGTCGACGACTTTAAAACGAGCACAGTCAAGAGAAATCAGATTTGATTAACTTGCACCGAGGAATCTCAGACTGATGGAAGAGTCGCACGTATATGTACCACGTCGTGAGAGACGTTAGAAGTGTAATAAATAAAACTGACAACGAGATAATAGACAAATTGACCCTAAACACATCCGACTCGTTAGTGGAGTATCAGAAGGTCGGGTTTCGTCGTCGTGGAGGGAGGCGACCCGTAACTTTTCACCGTCTCGTTCCAGGAGAAAACAAAGACGTTCAAGATCCCTCGTGTAAATGCATCGCGATGCACGTTCAAAGAAAATGTAATTTAATTACAGAAATCTAACTGAAAAACATGTATCCCGAATTATTGGTGGTATTGTCTTATCGTTCACAAAGTCTTCGATAATATCCTGATAACGAAATAAGAGGGTTGTCGACCTGACGTATTCGTTGCGATCATTTTCAAGCGCAATTCAACAATAGCCTTCCACGCTAGGACGACCAAGAGATTTGAGATATGCAATTACTTCTAAACCGGATAAATGTCTTTTATCCGTGAACGGTCATTCGTCGTCGTATTTTATTTTCCTCGCGAAATATTCGCTTCGCATTCATTCAAGGCAAGATAAAAATTATATCCATATATTTGCTTCGCATTCATTCAAGACAAGATACAAATTTTATCCATAGGTATGTCATACAAATTAAAAGAACATTATGACATGTGTATTTATTAATTCATATATATTACATATATTAATCTTTATATGTTAAAAATAACAACATACATTTACATAATAAATGAGATCATTTTAGGTACAATTTTGCGTTTAAAGTACACGTTGCATGACATAGATTTAATTTCGTTTTTTATGTCAGCAGACAAGCTTTTAAGAAAAGAAAAAAAGGAAGTCCTAAAGTACTTAATCCCACTTTTTTATTTATGAATTTTTGAAGTTAAATTTTCTCTTTAACGTAAATTATTTTTGTTTAATATTTAATATACAATTATTATATATACATATATGCATGTATATAAATGTGCTTTAAAACAATGCAAAAGCAAAAACTTGGACGTGTAATAAATAGAATCGTGTGATTTACGTTTATTACAATAATAGACATATTGCTTGATTGATTCAACAATGATTTATATTGCATGTACCTTAGTCGCTACCTAGTCATGTGTCCAAGAGCAATTTCTTCTCGGAGCAACAGCTCATTCAAACGTACTACACTATATATACCGAACTTCTTTGAAGCCAATTAGACGCAAAATGTTTGCGATTAAACGCATAACGTTCGCGCACTTCTTTTCTACGAACGAGTTTTCAAATTAGCGACATACAAAGTAATCTACAAATATTTTTTGGTATTTATAATTTATCAGTGTTTTTTAAATTACATACATTCAATATACAATAAGATCTGTATGCGTGTATATATAAAATAACAAATGTTTTATATTTAAATATACAACGTATCTATATTTTTTTAACAAATTTGGAGCAGATTTTTCTTTAATAAAATATCGAGACATAATTATCACATGCGAGAGATTAATAATCGAAAAATTAATTTAAAATTTACGGATGTAAAAATGTTTTATTTATTAGGTTATATTTTTGCGTGAAATAAAATCTCATCGCCGGAGTATGGTTCAAAAATTTAGAAATAATATTTTGATATGAAGATAGCCTCTGATAAGGTCAAGGCGTAACACATATACCTATTATCGTGCACGCATATACGACGAGAGCTCTCCATGCATATCGATACGCGACCAGCTGTACTACTTAACTCCGTTTGCTCTCTTCAGGGTTGTTATGCACGCATGTGCACGTGTTTTGCCATGCATGCACGAATGTAATCTTGGAATTGCAATTTATAGACGAATGACATTTATTTCTACTATATTCTATCATATTGTGCATTATTCGATAGAATATTATTATAATTTTTATACTATAATAATATAATAATTTTCTAGTTAGAATAGTTAATAGTTGTTATAATATTCGTAATCAGAAAATGATCATACGTCTATATAAGCACATTTAAGAGATATTTTAAAATCTTTTTAAATGTTGTATATAATGTTTAAATCAATATTTTTCAAATATGTGAATTTAAAAACTAAACTTGCTGGAGAAAGGAAATAATGATTTTACATTTAAGAAATTAAAAGAAAGAAGCTATATATATATAGAACTTCTTTCTTTTAATTTCTATTCTCTATGAAAAAAACGAGGTCATACTCTTACGATATCTATAACCGGTTATTTCCAGTACGAACAAAGTTAAATTGATTAGGAAGAAATGAGAACTTGAATTATAAGAAAAATCGTGTCAATCTGATAATTGAGTATACTAACATGCATACATTTTTATACCGATTAACGAACATGTATTATAGACAGAAAGAATAAAAGTAGGCAATTTCTAATATTAAGTAGAGATATACATATACGCATATATGTATTTAATTGAAATAATATAAATATTTTAAGTATTTTTATTATGTACTATATTATATCTCGATATGTTTGCGGAAGCGATAAGAATATATGAATTGCTTTTTTTCATCTTTATTTTCTTTGAGCAATCTTTTAGTGTCTTATCCCGCTCGTTATATCATTGCATAAAAGCGCTCGCAAAAAACATGCATGCAACCACTTGCACTTGATATACAAATCTTCTGTGTCTATTAATGCGCGAGTAGACTGTAAGTGGGCCGTAAGTAGGAACAAAAAGAGCTAACGAGCAATAGAACCTTGCATGCTAATGTTTAACGAAAGCGCGACCCTGATCTTGCTCAAACTGATTCTATTAAATGGCTGGTGTCTCAAGGTCTGTTTACTTATTTTAGGATACGGCATTGTACAACGCTGAATTTTCCTCGTAGCTGATAATATAAATCTTTCTCGACATAAAATGTTTTTGTGAAAGCGATCGAAATTTTATCCTTGATTTCTCGACTGCTTTGGTAGTAAGCAAAAATCTTGACGAAAACTTGAGAAATTATTAAGTATGTATGTACTTCAACAAATTTTATAAATATTTAAATCTATATCGAGCTTCGAAAAAAAATCGTGATACTATACTAAAAATCAGAGAAACAAGAAAATTATCATTCTACATCCCATCTATTTTTATTCATTCTTTGATTTTTTCTAGCGGACTAGTTATGCATCTTGTTTCTAATTTATCGATTAGCTTGATCGAAGAACGATTAAATAATTGTTGCTAATCACGGCGGACTCATTATTGCGCGATGCCTAAATTGTTTTACTTAACACTTTATTAACGACTGTTTAAAAGACTCAACGTAAGATTGCTATTGGATACGATAATTGTCGCTAAAATATATGACCCACATATTACGTCATTGGTAGTTCATGTCGTGTTTCTGCTGGATTTTTATTTGCGTTACAACACTCGCAAGAGATCTGATTATTTAGCAATGACGCGATCTCTGTTATATCAAGCGAGATGATAAGAAGCCGCTAGTAAAGTTTTGTCATTGCAGTCATTTAATGTTTAAAATCCACACAGAACAAAGAACAACTTTTCAAAGTTTATCTAGTATCTTCTACATTTATAAATATTGAACGTGAAAAGAGTTTAGCTATCTTCTCAAACATTATTTAAGTTTGCAATTAATAAGTTATATAGTTTTTTGAGACAAATTAAATTTTGAAGTTTTTATTTTTGTTAAACGAGATTTCTAATTTCGATAAAAATACTTATTTTTTTATTAAACATTGCTATTAAAAAAATATATAGGTCGCTCTTGATATATTAAATATATATTTCGTAAGATTTAATTTCACAATTCGATGCCTAATAATATAAATTTCGATTTTATTTTCTACAAATAAAATAAAAATTATTTCAAAATTAAATTATAGAAGAAAAGAGAAGATACAGAAAAAAATTCTCTATATTTACGATTGCTGATAATTATTTTTATTACAAACTAAATCTCAGTTTCTTTTACAGATGGCATGGAACATGCTGTAACAACGAGCAAGCTCCTCTACTCAACTTCCCTCTTGTATCCGCGACAGATGGCACCAGCATAACCGGTGAGTCTTTTAAAATTTAAATTTATTCTATCTACAGCTGTATTTTTTATACTTCCGGTATTTAAGATTAAATATACATCTACGCGCATTACACCGAGAGAAAAAGAACAAAGTATATTGTTTAATGTGAATGAGAATTTATCCAAAAAGGATAAAAGAAAAATCATTATTTGTGTATTGAAAGTTAGAAGAGATAAATATTCTATAAATAATTTTCTATAAAAAATATTTTTTTCTAAGAATTCTTATGCAGTCTAGAATTGCGATTTTGAAAGCAAATTATTTATAATAATATTATATGTAATCTTTGCGCGAGAAAGGAATGTTTTAATGTTGCCATATTGCTCACAACATAAACATTTGCTCCTTTTAATGAGACTCAGATTTTAATTTTGCACAAACCAAATGCGCATTAATGGTCTCATGGACTGTTAATTCGTGAAATTTATTATAATTTCATGTTGGTTGAGAAGGTGCGGCAAAGTATTCCGTTCGTTAAGAGCTGACCTCTTTATATATGCAGTAGGTGAGATAGTACTCGTTATCATCAAAGTCGACTAACAGTCGTAGTTCATTTATTTTACTTAAATTGCATAAAACAAATTATACAAGTAATAGAAAATAAATGATTATATAAATTATATAAAAGTTGAAATAAAGTATTAAAAATTTGATTTGTAATTTTTTGTCCAGAAAAAGATAAATTATTATATTTTCTATGCATATTAAATTTATATGAAAATTATTTCTTTCTTTCTTCTTGAGCATGTTTAACTAATGAGAATTTAACTAAATACAATCAAGTGACTAGAAATTTAAGAAATCATTCGATTTGCATGAAAATTGTCTTCAATGATAATTGTTGAGATTTTTGAATAAAAAAATTCTACTTTAATATAACGATTCCATATGCAAATAAGAATTTGCGAATCTTTAATTATACTTTCAGATGTAATTTCAATGATTTTGAAACATTAAGTTGCGTTTAAATTGCAGTGACAGAAACTATTTTTTACACATTTTTTCGTAAATATTGATAATATGTCATATTATACAGGACAATTTTCATTTATATAAAGTATGTATTACAGATTTAGATTTCCTGTCTCGTCATATTTCAAAAATGGAGACTATAATCTCTATAATTTAATATTCCTCTGCTAATAAAAGGCAGTGCAATTTCTCATTTTTACTTGAGTTTTATCTTTATTTTACGTAAAATGTAAGTTGACAAGCAATCGTCTTTTTGAACTGTCAGTGACTATAGGCAAGGCTTAATCCGCGTAGGTTCGTTAATGACGCGTCTATCCTACGCACAACTTCCTGATGAGGGTCCAGGTAACTCTTACGCCTTTCCGCTAATTATTAGCCGAGCGCGTGAATCGCGTGACCAACGTCGTCCCACAAGAGCCGCGAACCCGGAACTATTTCCTACACGCGGGTTCTCTCCCCTACGTTTGCTGTCGCAAAATATATATATATATATATATATAAGAAAAAAATATTATATATATATATAATATTTTTTTTTCTTTAACTCTCAACGCCAGTCGTCGTCGGTGAGAGGCTGTCAATTGCACCAAGTTCTCGTGGGCGGAGCTGAACACCAGGGAACAAGTGAAATTGTATCGCGTTCGGGGTTCCAAATAGAAAGTCTCATGGCCTTTTCTGCTCAACAAACTACAATTGTAGTCAGACTAATTCTAGACCCCCGGGTTAGATATCTTTTCAAAAGAATTGACGGATAAATATATGAAATGATTTGATGACGGATAAATATATAACATTATTATTTTAGAAAATTGTTTATTTCTTCTAAAAAATGTAAAAAATTACGTAAGAAATTGAATATTGAAAATAATAGATTAAAATTAAAGATTGCTGTGTATTTTGATGGAATAAAATATATTTATTTAATGATTAGAATTAATAAATATAAATGTTTTAATTTTCTTTCTCTTTTTTAAATATTCTCTCATAAAAGAGATTTCACAAGAAAATGTACATCCATCATGTAAACAAACAAATTAATGACACGTCTTGTGTCATCATCATTTTCCAATCTTTCATAATCGGGAATCTTTATCGAAAAAGATAGTCGGCCATCCATATTCGCTGTATTATATAAAGCAATCGACAAACTCATTCGCGATGATGACCTGTTCGGCAAAAAGTTGAACGCGAAGAAAAATAGCTTTAAGCAATCTTGAACGCGTCATTGGCTGTATGCTTATTGTTAATGAACCAGTTCAATTATATTACATACGTTTTCGCGCGATATAAAATATCGAGAGTCGAAGAAGAAAAGTCGCGAGTCGAAAACACATTAGATATAACAGCTAAAACAGCTTATATTTCTCAGAACAAAATTATGGGTCAAACTTTTAGCAATTTATTTCACATGTAATCATTAAATTTTTTATTACTTGTTATATATTACTTGTTTATGCAATATTAATAGTAAAAGTGGTTTAGATTAATTGCGACTAAATACGACTATGAGTAAAAAATTTTATTACTGATGAAATATGTGAGAGAAAGAACATTATTCTTGCACCTTTATATATATATATATATCTTTATATATTTACGTAGGTAACGACGAATTATTTATGAAAATCGACATCTCACCTTTTCACACATTACCCGCATCGTTCCGTTAGGCGTTACCTAATCGAAAAGCATTCTCCAGCTTTTATTCCTAGTGTTGTGTACCTATATTAGTCGATTCCCATGCACCAAATCACCCGCTCACGTTCTAATTCTACAGCGTCGATATCCCGACGGCTGCTCCGTTATGTAAACGAAAAAGTTACGCTACCGCGTTTAGTTTTCCTCGCGCACCCAGATTCGCAGCAATTTCTGGATTACGTAACTATCTCGCGCTTTCCATCAAAAATATTTGCAAGCAAGGAAACTTTTCGAAAACGCAACACGCAGATCGCGGTTTTCATGTGCATTTCGTCTTCGTATATTTTAATTTTTATAAGTAATCACTTATTTTCGTGCCTGGTCAATGATTTTTGACCTACAGATTTAAATGTCAACCACGTGGGTAAATGATATTTTTTTCAATTACTTTTTGATATTACTTTATTAATTGTGAAATATGATTGTAACTCTAATTTTTACACGTACTTTTCGTATTTTATTGTATATTTTATTTCTATTATTATTGAAAAAAAATAATTCGTCTGAAAACAATTACAACTTCACATCACATTTGCGGTATAATTATACCTACCTTGCTTTAAAATAGAAGTACGAAAAACGAACTCTATGAGAACTCGTATATCGCGTGTCGTGTTATTGGAAGATTCCCTCGCTAGGAATGATCAGTCTCATCAACGAGAGGAAATCGCGATCGGGAGCTCTAGGATTTCCTTTCCCAACATCGCTCGCCTTCTCTCTCTCTTTCTTGCCCTCTCCCGTAGGCTATGACCATGTACGAAACGTTGAGCAATCTCATCGAACGTGGGTGGTGCGGTGTACCGTTACACACGTTACACCCACCTTTATTTTATAATATAGATCAGAACCGAACGCGAGAGATCCATCGTTGCCGCGCATAAACCCCCTTATATCATCGTTCACCGTGCGGTGTATTGAACGTTTCATTATCCTATCCTTTATGCAAGTCGCGCCGGCAATATGGGAGAAAAACGACGTGCCTCATCGTAGGACTTCTCTTAAGGTCCGACGCGTGGAGCCCGCCTCTCATCCTTCGCGCCTTCCCGCGCAAAATCAGCTGTTAGTGACGGCCTCGAGCCGGACATTGTCGCGAGTGACATCACGCGATTTTCAGTTTGACATTTAACACTTGGGCAATCAGGAATACATATCATTTGCATGTGTGTTTATTTAGTAACATTTAGGCGGACCGTGTTCAGACATCATTTGCGACATGAGTCATACCGTGTCATTTTAAGAAGAGGGTTCTTTGTGAGTCTGATCGTTATCAGAATTATTTGATCCTCGAATTTTCAATTAAAATTTTATTATTGCATATTTAATATTGTTTTAATTATATTGGCCAGATCAATATTCCAAACTTAAATATAAGAATATATTTACTTTTATTTATTATATAAATATACAAATACATGTAATAAATATACAGAGAGAATTTTTTTTTTAATTTATCCTGAAAATCATGGGGCAATATGGAAGTATTCGAAGAATTTTATAACAGTTTCTCTGATTAAATATTTACCACATATATATATATATATATATATATATATATATATATATGTATAGCTTTAAGAGAAAACTAATAAAATATATATATAAAATATTAAAATATATTCGTAAAATTAAAAGCGTTGAGAGATTAAGCACGGTTACTCTTTGGCATTGCGTACTTATTCCGGATGGAAGAAAAAAATAAATGAGAGAAACGATTTACATAACACTTGTTTGTCTCGAGGACGCGCGAATCCATCGCTTCTCCGGTCTGCGCGAAACACGCACGGCCTACGATCGGGCTGAGTAGCGCTGAATCATAGGATAAACATAGCCGGGACATGCTCTCTTCCTGAATTCTGCATACGTGGTTATGCGATGCACAACCACGTCGTGCGTCCGGCACGTTTCTTCAACGAGAACGCGTTTCTGCGCGTGGGACAATACTGCGACCGATCGATTCCGGTCTCTCCTTCCCTTTTTTCTCTCGCCTCTTACAACGTGCCATCAACATCAACACGCGTATCGCAGGAAGGAAAAGTCTCTCGCGGACGACATACAAATTAGGGTCATCTCCGGTTACCGGCTCGACCGAGCTTTCCATCGCGGCCGGCCTTTAAATTTCTGTCAACTTCTCTCTTACCAAGTTTCTCGTAAAACGTCTCTTAAAGGCATGTATACTGGCACACATCATCTATTTATATGGGTATTCTTAATTAAAAAGTCTGTTTTTTTTATTTTTCTTATATTTTGATATATGATATTCTTTATACTTTATTATATATTTAAGTAAGAGCAGAATATTATTGCATATT